GAAGGGGCTGTGTCCAGCAGGAGAGCCATGGAGAGAGAGGCTTTGCTCCTGAGATGGAACAGTCTGGCTTTGGGACTGCACCCAGGGGACGAGGGACCCACGGTGCAGCAGTTTTGGGCACGACTGTCTGCCCATGGGGGGACTCATGATGCAGCAGATGTGTGTGGAGTGCTGCTTGTGAGAGTGGAACCACACCAGAAGGGTTCACTGAGAACTGTCTCCCGTGGGAGGGACCCTCTAGTGATGCAGAGGAACGATTTCTCTGCAGTGGAAGAAGGTTTTGATGATTAATTGACCAAACCCCCACATCCTGTCCGCCCTGCACTGTCAGTGGGAAGGAGGGAGGGAGTGAGGAAAAGATCGGTCGAGTTAAGGGTTTATTTCACTTCTCARTCTCCTCCTCTGACTTTGTTAGTAAATAAATTCACTGTGTAATTTAAGTGGAGCCTGTTTTGTCCTTAGACTGTTTTCTCCCAGTGCTTATCTCAACTCATGAACCCTTTTGTTAATGTTTTTTTCCTTCACTCTCAGTGGTGCTGGGGGAGAGCAGATGAKCAGATGTCGTGGGTGCCTGGCATTTGGCCAGTGCTCAAACCACGACACAACCCCAAAGCTGTGGGTTCAGTCCCCAGATGGACCTTGCACTGAAGGATTGAATTTGATGGTGCTCGTGGGTCCCTTCCAGCTCATCATCTTATGGTCTGTGAGCTAGGATCTGGATGGTTACAGCTCCTGAAGAAGTCCTGAGAMCTCCTCTCCTTGCCAGCAGGAGCTGGGAGTAGCTCTGCTCGCAGAYCAGGGGATGTTGGTGTTAGAGCTTGATTGGTTTATAGAAATGAGCAGTAATTAGTGTAGGAAGCTGCTGTAATTGCCAGTGGGTCCCACACTCCTCCTTGGAGAGGATTTCACTGCCTCCAGAGGGACTCAGCCCCACCTGGGATTGTGTCCCTGGAGAGAAACATGAAGCCAGGGATCCAAGCTGGTGTCAGGGGACACAGCATTTCCCGGGGCCATGTGTGCAAACCCAGAATGAGAAAATCAGAAATGATCGAGAGCTGGGATGGGGTGAAGGGCTGCCGACACGGGACAGCAAACTGAGGACAAGTACTGCTTGCAAAAGCACAAATACTGACCAAATTAAAGATGATGGAGAAGATGAAGCTTTGAAGAGCTGAAGTGCTCTAACTTTGAAGCAGATAACAAAAAAGCAGGCRATTTCCTCAAAGAGCTCTGCTTACAAGTAATAGGATATTATTAAAACCCACAGCTGTTTCCATGCCTTGCAAACACACGACCTGCAAATAATCCACATCCCAACAGGCATCCCCAAGCTGTTTGGCGCACTCACAACCTTCACTCCTTGGCAAAATGACCCCACTTTCCCCACAGGATTCCAGCTGTGCCCCCTGGCCACTGGTGGCCTCTGTGAAATTGGGAGCTGGTCTCTGACATGGGAACATTTTTCTCGGCATGCAGCACCGAGGTTTGCCGCAGCATCATCTTTTCCTATTTGAAAACCACCTAAGCAACACTGATTTAGGGATAAGGGAAATAAAAGGGAACGTGGCTCAAACTTTCCACTAAATCCCTGGAAGTTTCGGCTTTTACACGCTGTGTTGTCTTTACATAATGAAGTCACACCGCAATTATAAATGAGAGTGACTTGGCTCCACTTATTTGTTTTTAACTTGCAATTATTACAAGGTTTATCGCTTCTTTATTGCAAGGCCTGGTGAGAGCCAGTACTGCAGTAGTGCCAGAAATGATGAACTTCCTGCAGAATGTACTGGCCTGACGGGGGTGAATCAGAAACTAATTAAACTGGGAGCTGGGTTAAGTGCAAGGGAACTGAACCTCACTCGTGCAAACAAGCAAAATTCTGCCTTTATTGCAAGGATCTTTATTTACAGATTCCAGAGCCCTGCTTTCTGAGTATAGCAAAAAAGAGTAAAGTCACAATGCTTTCCTTCTCCAGGTTTGCCTGATGCCAGGCGAGGAAGGGATCAGTTCCATCTGCCTTTTGCACTCTGTGCTCCTATCCGATGATTTATTTGTCAGGCTTTCCAGGAAACGTGTTATCAGTCCAACAAACACTTCAGCATGTGCCTTACCATAACTGTGCTTCACTCCTGCTGCCATGGGACTCGAGTGTGAGCCGAAGACCTTCTCTGAATCGCTTTATGTTATTTATTCCATCATCCTTTTGCTTCCCCAGCAAACACCTGGATGYTGCCAAAAGGTGCTGGGGCAGAGAGGCAGAGCTAACCCTGGGGGTRGCAGATCAGAGGGGCTGCAGCCAGRGCAGGGGTGGGGYGMTCCTGCTGCGAGGAAAGGGCACTCGGGGGCTGTCTTGGCAATTGTTCTGCAGAGCTGTGGGATATTGAGGGATTCAGGGATATTAAATCACTGCAGCCACGGTCAGGGCCCAGCAAACCACGGGGGCCCATGGCCCTCACGGGCGGCGCGAGCACGGCTCTGCCGAAGGTCGCATCTGGAGTGGAACGGCTCCAAATCATTTTTATGGGTGATAATAAAAACGTGTTACCACATAATCAACACAAAACAGTGGCAAGGGTATCCTTTTCATTAAAACAACATGTTTTAAATGAGTGCTCTGCTGATAAATGCTGTAAAAACTGTGAAGGCATGCATGGGATAATCCAGTATGCGTTGTTATAAATTGACTATGTATACTTTGCAGTCATTAAGGCTCAAACCATAGTAACAAGTTTATTTTCTCTGGGCACGAAATGATAGAGGTCAGGAAGTCTCCAGACTTGAAATTGCTGAGAAATTCTAGTTTTTTTATGATTAGGACTGAAGAAATGCCCAAAAGAAATAAAGCAGAAAGAAGAGAGCTCTCGCAGTCGTGAGATCCACACAGCCAAGCTAAAGAGGGAGAAGCACAAGGGATTTAGTCACATTCAAAAATCTCAAACTCCACACGGCTGTTTCAACAAGGAGTGTCCTCTCACAGCTCACACAGCACAAATGGGCTCCTTACACACCATRGCAATAGCACCACAGCCATTCATCCATTTTCTGTCACGTTCTGTTTTCCTTAAGGCTGCCATTGCCATGGTCAAGGGACTAGAGGAGAATTCCCACTTTCATTAAAAAAAAAAAGAGGAAGTTTCAAGCCCTCTGAGTAAACTGCTAGAAAATGATACCACAGAGGCTYACAGCCAGAAAGAAAATTAGCAAAATGTGCAGTGTATTAAAGCCTCAGTACTAAAATCTTGGTATTTTATAGTCAGGAAGGTTGAGGTAGAGAGAGGCATAACAGCAAGGGAAGAATATTTGGTTTTCACCAGGAATCCTCATGGCAAACAGTGCCCACCTGTGCTGCKGCTCCTACTTCCAAAGGGTAAGTTYCTCCTTGAAGAATGGAGGCAGAAAACACCCTCATGCCACCAAAAAAACAAAATATGGCCTCACCAGCCCCAGAGGAGGACAGTGACTGCTGCCTGTGGGTCCCAGGACACAAAAACCCCTTTCCTCCAAACCCTGCACTGCGCAGGGTTGCCTCAACTCGGCAAAGTGCTCAAAAGTTTGTCTTTCTGCACGTACAGCAGGAAAAACTCAAATTTGAGCCTAAAAGGCCGTGCTGAGCTGGAGCCTCTGGCAAGAGAGCTCCCAGCAGCACAAGGGTTTGTTTCTGGGTCCAGAGCCCACGGCTCAGGCGTGGCTGAATGGGGTCAGGAGGCTGAAAGGGACAGAACGGGGCCACAACACCGTGCGGGAGCAGCGTGAACGCTTGGGAATGCGGGGAACACTCCTGGCTGGCCCTGCCTCGGGGGCAGAACCAGAGGCTGCTGCCTGCAGGACTCACCCAAGACTCCCAGACCCACCAGGCTCCCCAGGCAGGGTCTGGCTCCTGCTCCACTCCAAGCCTGGCTGCGGATCCCGCGGGGACGCGGGTGTTGTGTGCCTGCAGCTCCATCCCAGCTTGCTCAACCCACGTCCTCCTTCTCCGCCCGCCAGCACAAACTTTCTCAGCTTCAGACAAATACCACATTTCTTGCGTCAGGTCAAAAGCTCGGGCCAGGGACAATGGAAATGGGAGGACGGTTTTCATCTTCTTGAGATGTTTGGTGTCAGAGGACTGTTCTTGGCGCGTGGTGGCTTCCC